AACAATTTTTTTTTGGGGGGGAGGGTATCCTGAAAAAAAGGCTAGAGGCGTCGGCGGGAATTGAACCCACGTCCGCGGGGTCTACGAGCCGAGAGTCTCTCACGCTAACCACTCGGCTACCGAGGCCCCTTAAGCAATAATCGAACTGATAAATGGACATTCTGAACTGCCTATCAGTCGAAAAGACTGGATGCGCTGGATGTTTGATGAACCAGAATTCTTTCCGAATGTTCAAGTGGTGGCAATAATTTCTTATATAAAGCTAATATGAATTTTGACGGTCGAAAACGATTTCGTTCTAAAAGTAATTAGTTGTCCGAGTCTTCTGATAAGTTGTAATTTAAATCTTGTGTCAGGGTTTCATCAGTCCAGGTATAATTCTAAATATCTACTATAGTAGCAGATCTGAAGCTCCTTGTTCTTTATGTACAGCAGAATGCAAGTCTGTTCTTTTTTTAAAATTTTAATTTAACATAGGTACAGTTTTTCTCAATTACGTTTGTCCTTGTGTTTTTTTCTATCATTCTTTGATAAGCGCCAAGTTTCCTTGGATGCTGAAGGTTTTTATGGATAAGATTGGAATTGAAAACTAAAATTACAGTATTATATGAGAAGGTTGTGTTCATGATGATATGACTCCTTGTTGCTGCTTGTTAGACGCCGGCTTTATTGTAGAATTCTATTTATAGCTACATATGACACCATCCAGTGGGTGGAAAGCGTTTAAGTTTATATAGAACGTAAGGGAGTCAGAACTTATTAAAATCCTGGGAAACACTCAGAAATACACTAAAGCAATTTATTAGAGAGCGATGAGCTTTAGAATTGTGATATCTGATTGGTCAGTCATAGGGAGATTTGTGAGCTTTTGGAATGAGAATGACGACGGTATACTTTCACATGAGAGTTGTTCGAAGACTTGAGGCATCACCTGGTGGTAAATGATGGAGCTGATTGGTCTGTATGTGGTCGGGAGGTTTATGAGCTTTAGAAATGGACTAATGCCGGTATACTATCAAAACATTTTCCTGGAATTAGGATATCACCAGATGATAGCTGAATGGTCAGTCATAGGGAGATTTGTGAGCTTTTGGAATGAAAATGACTACGGTATACTTTCACATGAGAGTTTTTCGAAGACTTGAGGCATCACCTGGTGATGGAGCTGATTGGTCTGTGTGTGGTTGGGAGGTTTATGAGCTTTACAAATGGACTAATGCCGCTATACTAACAAAAATTTTTCCAGCAATTAGGATATCACAGGATGATAACTGATTGGTCAGTCATAGGGAGATTTGTGAGCTTTTGGAATAAAAATGACGACGGTATACTTTCAATGAGAGTTTTTCGAAGACTTGGGGCATCACCTGATAGTAAATGATGGCGCTGATTGGTCTGTGTCTGGTTGGGAGGTTTATGAGCTTTAGAAATGGACTATTGCCGGTATACTAACAAAAATTTTTCCAGCAATTAGGATATCACCAGATGATAGCTGATTGGTCAGTCATAGGGAGATTTGTGAGCTTTCACATGAGAGTTTTTCTAAAATTTTGGTATCACTGTAAAATAGCCGAGGTAGTTGATATGTCTATAGGTAGTTGGGAGGTTTATGAACTTAAGGAATAAAAATATCACGATGGTATAGTAGAGTATTTCGAGGATTTTGGGCATCACTAGATGATAGCTGATAGGTCGGTTGATGGTTGGGAGAGCTTTAGGTATGAGGGTGTCAATGGGATCCTTTCACAAGAGATTCAAGGATTTTGGACACCGCTGGATGAGTTTGTAGGTGATTAGTATACCAGGTGATGACTTCCAGAACAGAGGAAAAAGAGTCCTACGCTTGATATCACCGTATGTTGTGGTAAAAACAAATATAACTTTGTGATGAAGAGTTCAAAGCATAGTGGAAGTGAAGTGCTTAACATCTTTTAATTATTAAAAAAAAATTAAAATAGATTATATCCAAAATAAGGCAAAATTGTAGTATATTCCGTGTGAATGGTATTGGGTTAGAAATATTGTACACGTATATGTATACCAGAGTTAGACCAAGAATGCTTCCTTGTGGGACGCCGGCTTATATTGGTATCATAGTATCTAAATTAACCTACCTCATTTAAAAAAAACTCTTTAAGAAAACCAGGAATAAACTAGGACGTTGAAACCTTGTATGTTGAATAATTAGTTCATTATTGGTAAATATTAAATTTTACAATTGTTGACTAGTCAAATAAAATAGATACAAGTGTCTCCCCTCTCTTTTTGTTAAAATGATTGATTCATTTATTATTTATATACATATTAACGTCTTTTCATTAATGTAATTTAATTTCCTCTTAAAATTGTGCATTCTAAATTCACTAAACACAAATATGCCTCACATTCATTTGGGCTCGTCGCTGCCCATCGCTCCGTTGCTCCTTATGTTTGAATTTCGCCTTTCAGACTCTGCAAACAGAAACACACAACAGAACACATGACAGGCTGACCGAGCATACCAACACAATCACTTTCCCCATCTCTCTCTTCACAAAAGAGCTCTCATGTCAACATAGATGTACAATTAGTGTTAGAAGAAAGTCTAAACACAGATAACACATAGAAAAAATGTTGAATATGCTTTTGTCAGACACTATCATTATAGTAACACAAGGATAAAAAGAAGCATTTAACAATTAACTACATAGAAAATAAAAGCAATTTTTTATAAAAAATTATATTTAGGGGTTTTTAGTTTGACTTTTTGATTCAGTCTTAGCAAGTGTTTTTTTATTTATGTATCATTCATTAAAAATTGGTATGAATGGTTTATTTATTTATTTTTTTAAATAATTATAGGTTGTTTAAGTCTTCTCAAGCGCCTTTATTTATTTTATTTGAATTTATTCTGCCTTGTACGTCAATTAATCAACCTTGGTCATCTTCAATTTTGTTCAGGTAAAACTTATTTGCAGAATTATTGTCTATTTCATTGGGCATTTTTTGTATATAGGGCTAGCTGTATATAGTGAAGCACTAAATTCAGAGTAAATTTTTTTAAACAAAGTTAACTTTGGTTTATTCAAACCGTTTGATTTCTCCATCTTTTAAAGAATACAGGCTAGACAATAGAGTTTAAAATAAACTAAAAATAGTCTTTCCAATGTTAGTTGTTCTGGGTTTATCTGAAGACTTTTTACTTGAAAATAGTACGAAAAATTTACATAAAATTATTCTGATCCCTTGTCCGCAATGGTTAAGCCCTCAGAAGAACTTTATTTTTACTCTGAAATATTCCGAACCTAATTTTTTTTCTGTTATATTGAGTAAGAATATTTTGTAAGTTACTACTCGCAAGAAATTGTATGCGTTTAATTCTAAAAACTCACAAGGTCAGAAAAACCGAGCCTAAAACAAAAGCATCGCACAACTCTGGAGAAAATTAAAATAAAAGAGGTATGCGCTACCTAACAGACTTAGAAAAAAATAAACTTCAAAGTGGTCGTTAGATTTGGAGGAAAGGCAAATCAACCATTCAAGATCTAAGTTAAAACAGAGAATACAAGTAGGGGCAGAAAAGTTAACAAAATAGATATATTTTTTCTTTCCAAAAGGTAGATTGGCGATGAGGCAGGAAGACAGAAACAACATTTATTTTCTTGTCGAGCTTTCGGCAGAGAATATCGCCTTCATCAGGACTCTGTATTAACAAATTAACATAAGTAAATTTTCAAACAATTTTTTATAGATTGAAGATTGAGCCAGTTGGCAATACTGTCGCGTTTAGGAATATTAAGTAATAACCTTCGTTTATCGAAGGTGGGTTCTACCGGCTATCCACACATGTACCTCTTCATATAGTATAACGATTTCTTTTCGAGTTGGTAATTAAGGAAAATTTTAAAAATTGTATATTTGAAAATTTACTTATGTTAATTTGTTAATACAGAGTCCTGATGAAGGCGATATATTCTGCCGAAAGCTCGACAAGAAAATAAATGTTGTTTCTGTCTTCCTGGCCTCATCCCCAATCTACCTTTTGGAAAAAAAATTAAACTGAGAAGGCTGATCAATCACCAAAGAAAATATTAACAAAATAGGTTTAGTTTTATAAAAACACTTGGGAATTATGCCTACCACCCTCCAAGCTGAGACCATGCAGTCCAATTCTGCACGCAGAAGTTTGTAAATGATAAAATGAAGAGCGCATGAACCAACACACTTTCGGAAAATCAAGCAGCTGTTAAGGCAATAAACTGGCATGATTTTTACTCGAGACAAATGTGGGAATACGTAAATTTTAAAATGGCCCTGGGAGAACCGAACGGGTTTATCTTGATTTGAAGACATGAAGGTATCGGACAGACAGACAAACAGACTAAACACTAGTCAATGAAGGGTCGGCGGTTCAAACCATGGAGCCGAAAGTAGAAAATAAGCACGACGTAGAGCAGAAAGAATTTGCTTGAGAAATAAAAACGTACGAACTGAACTAAAGCATCAGGTATAAACATATTCATAAATTTCCCAAAAAGGAAGGTGAAGAAACTTCATCTTCTCAACACGCAAAATTTAAGGAAATTTTTGACTTCTTTACAAACCACTAATTTTTAATCACCGTGTAAAGAAGCTGGGCAAAGCAGAGATAGAAAAATGCCATGCCAAGAGGAACCAGAAACGTCGGGACAAATCCCTTGTAAACGGCAGGCACCAGGTCGTATACTGTACAGCCACTTTGGTAAGACAATTATCGATACAAAAGAAGTGCGGGCAGAGGCATCGAGAAAAGTACCTAGTTTAGTGAGAAAACGGGCACATTCCACGTTATAGCCTTAATTATAGGGTTCTATGTAGGTCGCAATAAAGACTAATGTCCTTACCTGAATCCCCCACCCCCCAAAAAAAAAATCGGTTTATAATAAACATTCTTCTAGAATTATAGAAAAAAGAAAAGAATCTATAAAATGATACATTTTTAAAAACCAAAATTGTATAATATTGGATCATTGGTAGAAAGAGTAGGTTTTAACGTCTAATGGAATAAAGTCCGTCCAGGCCAACCTTTGCCCAACCTCCTCCAAATAATTTATATGACATTGCATGAAGTTCGATAGAGTATATATTCCGGATTGAATTTAAGGAGGAAATTTTGATGAAAAACACTTGCCATCTGTGTAAAGCCAATCGACTGGAAGAAGATAAAATGGTCTACCAGATACTGGTGATTTTCCCATGATACAAAAGGTCACAGATGGCCTATGGAGTAAGGTACCTCAAAATAAGCTAAATTTTCAACACTAAATATAATACAGTAATCCCTTAACATTCGCGGGTTTGTCATTTGCGGTTTTCACTATTCGCGTATGAAAAAATGAGGTAAGATTTAACATTCACGGAAGGTCGGACTTGTGCATTCGCGGAAAAATAACACTTGAGTAAACAAAAAAATTCTGACAGACAACAATATTCTTTGAAGATGCCGAATCGTTCATTTCAAAAGCAGAAACAACAGCTCCAGGATTTAAGGCGGCCAAAGATCGTATCAGCTTATTACTTTGTGCAAATGCATCTGGTGATTGCAAGCTAAAGGCGACATTGATCTACAGATCCCAAAATCCAAGAGCCCTCAAGGGAAAAAGTAAAGATGAGCTCCCAGTTTTTTGGAGATCAAACACCAAAGCATGGGTGACTAGTGCCTTATTCCAAGAATGGTTTCATTTCTCTTTCATCAACGAAATAAAAAAATATCTAGCTCTGCTTCTAATTGACAACGCTCCTGGTCATCCTTCAAGTTTAATAGGAAGTCATCCAAATGTGGAAGTTATTTTTTTGCCCCCAAATACGACTTCGTTGATATAACCTCTGGACCAAGGGGTTATAGCAGCTTTCAAGGCATATTATACCAAACACAGTTTTAAGCGAATTTTAAATTCCATTGAGTGTAATGCCGAAGAAACTGTGTCTAACTCATGGAAGAAATTTAACATTGCGAATTGCATTGAATACATACATGCTTCTTGGCAGGAAATGAAGCCAAGTACAATCAACGCTTGTTGGAGAAAGATATGGCCTCAAGTGGTTAAAAAAGATAACGCTTTTCCACCACTTCAAGATGAGGAGAAAGAAATCGTCCGCATAGCGCACCAGATTGGAGGAGAAGGATTTGATGATATGAGAGCAGACGAAATTGATGAATTGCTTAATTCTCATGAAAAAGAGTTATCGGATGAAGACCTGATGCTGCAAAAAGAAGAGGACTCTAAGGAATGTGAAGAAGTTGAAAGTGAAGATGAGAGTCGGGGTGGTGAAAAGAGTAAGTCTGGCAAGTTTTTACTTTTAACATTTCTATTCATTTAATATTTTCTCTCAGGCCCAAGTTTTTCTGCAAAACAGATCAGTGAAATTCTAACGATAAGGGACCAACTTGTTCAAGAGACAATGGATTTGGACCCATCATTGAACCGAAGTTTACAATTTAAAAGAGATGTCGAGGCCGCTTCCATTCCTTATGTGGAAATGCTGAAAGAACTGAATTTTTGTGCGAAAAAGCGAACTATTAGTAGCTATTTTCTTCCATCCACGTCTAAAAATACAAGTTAAACATTTAATTTTTAATGTACATAGATAAGGAAATGTTTTTGTACAAATGTATTTCAAATAAATTCTTTTGATTTAAAACATCACAATTTTTTCAGTCATGGAACGTAACCCTCCTTATAACATAGGAAAATAGACTCAACATTCGCGGATTTAACATTCACGGTAATTTTTAGGAACCAAACCCCCGCGAATGTTAAGGGATTACTGTAATAAAAAATTAATAAATAGTGTTTTTGAATTAAATTTGAAGTAGGACAGAGTATTAATATAAATGTATATGTGTACTGACCGTTAACAGTGAAACCGCTGGAAAAAAATAAAAATCTCTTTATGCTCTTTTTTTTTAAATTGTTGTATATTGCATGAAGCTGCACACTCATAAAACCAACCCAGAACATGAATAGACGACTTTTTGGCCGTCGGCTGTTTAATATATGTGCTATGCTGTTCTTATCGATTTTCACGAGCCCTCCCATTCAGATTTAACCGGCCCCTACGCTTCAGCAAGAAACGTGTGGAGAACGGAGACCCAGTTTTTTAGAGTTCGTCTATCAACAAACAGAAAATGATATATGTCCGGTATGAAAAAATATCTTCCATCTGTACGATCCTTAGAGAAGTAAGAATAAAACTCCTTCGTAGTCTTGGCACGGTTGAAATTAATTTAGAAAAATGTCATTTAGGATAAGTGATTTGAGTGTGTATAGATAAATGATTCTGCAAATTTTAAAAACAAAAGTCGATCAAGGTTGATTTGACGTTTTAGCATTAATCGTTGCATAAATCATTGCAAAAGCGTTAATTTAAGAAGCGTGTAAGTATTGTGAGGCACTTGAAAGCGCAAAGCGTTATTGTACATAAAAAGTTTTTAAGTACTTATGATAGAAATAAGTGTTTTTCCATTGTTCAAGCTATTTACAAAGTTTCTAAACAAGTGTTTTTTTTAGCTTATGTGTTTTTGTCTTATTTATAGACAGACATTTGTTGAAGATGATTTTTGGGTCAAGTAATTCGACGGGCATTAAGGTGGCATGCATATTGAGAAATTTGTTAGTTTAACTTACCCATTTTCGGAGGACCGCCCTCTTTGGGATGGTTGGCTTTGATGGCGTTCATCCTTCTGTTCTGAGCGGAGATCGCGGTAGATGGACATCCACCTGTGGCCTGTGCTGGCCCCGCCCCAGAGGCCCCACAGGGGCCAGTCAGTCTTGGGGCCCTTGGCTGCTCTACGGGCAACACTCTTCTTCTTTTCTTCGGCAGTTTCGCCCTCGCCTGGGTATGGGAATAGTACATGGCGAAGTTGGATACTATGACGGGGACGGGTAGCGCTATGGTGAGCACACCGGCTAAAGCACACAAGGCACCTACAAACATACCAACGTACGTTTTAGGAACCATATCCCCATAGCCCACGGTAGTCATAGTGACTAGAGCCCACCACAATCCCAGAGGGATACTGTTAAAATCGTTGTTAGGGTTCGCTTGTATCCTCTCTGCGTAATACACGAGCGAAGCGAATATCACTATCCCCAAAACGAGGAAGAACACTAATAGAGTGAGCTCTTTGGCAGATGCGCGGAAAGTTTGTATCAGGATCTTGAGGCCCGACGAGTGCCTCGTCAGCTTGAATAGCCTCATAATCCTAATTATACTGAAAAACTCCAGAATGTCCGCGTTCGCAAGGTGGGTCGCGAACTTCGCGAAAATAAGATCTAAATAAAAAGAAAGGGTAGCTACGTAGTCTATAATGTTCACTGAGGACTTGATAAACGCGCACTTGTTCGGGCAAGCGACGAACCGGACGATGAATTCGAAGGTGAACCAGGCGTTGCAGAGGCACTCGATGTAGAAGAAGGCGATGTGTGCGTTTGTTATGTGCTTGTCTAAAGTCCATCCCCAGGTGCTGTTCTCAGTTGTATTCACCGTGATGTTCTTTATAACAGGAACCCTCATGTCCGGATGGGTCTTGAGGCAGAACGAGAGGATAGACACACAGATGAAAAACACCGAAATCACACCGATTATCTGGAAAAAACAAACAAATCATGTCAATTCTTACTTGATAAAAAAACAAAAAAAAACACGCACAATAAATGCTACAATGTATCTTCCTTAACTTTTTATAAGAGTGATAAATTATGATAAATAGCTTTTGAAATTACTTGTTTTTATTATATCTCTTCTTAAATATTGCTTTGTTTTTCCAAAAAAGTTCTGCTAAAATTGACCAAAACATATAGACTATCCTGTGACAGAGGAGGTTATCTTTTATGTCAAATTATTCTCCAAAATTTGATTCTCAATTGTATTTGAGATATTTCACTTCTCAAGTTCTGCCTCTTACCAATTTATTTCATTTAAAATGTTAATTTTACTCCATTTTTCGTTTTCGTAGTCAATTTACCAAGTTACTTCTTTCAATCAATTAATTATTCTTCCTAAGGTCTTGGTTGATTATACGACATTTGAAAAATTTGAAAATGGCAAAAAGAGGGAAAATTCGAACGGTTGTAGGTTGAGATGGAGAGTTGGTATCCGAGAGGATTGACGTCACGATTGCTCAAGTGGTAGAGTAGCGGCGTATTTAGCTGAAGGTCGTGGGTTCGAATCCCGCTCGTGACACTGACTTTTTTACCTCAACCAAGAACTTTCAAAGAATAATTAGTTAATTTTACTGTACGGAAAGAGCAGAAAGCACTACGGAGGATTTGTTTTTAACTGGCCTCATCTTTGGACGTTTTGTAATATAAAATTAAAAAGAAAATACATATTATGATATTTATGCCCGGTCATCATGTTGAATATTAATTAGTCTTAAAGTGTACAAAAATATTTGTATTATTTTCTAACAGCTTTCTGTATAAAGTCTCTAGTTAAAAAAATCTTTCCTTAAGATTAGTTTTACGAAAGTTACAAACATTACAAATTTGACCAATATGATAGAAATGTCTCATTAAAACGTTTTTTGTTTAAATAAAATTGCAAGTAGTAACTGCCGGCTTGACCTAAAAGTAATCCCACCCTCCGTTTGCCCCGAGGGAGCTTCTCGTCCTTCAGTGGCACATATTTCTCCCGAATATCCTCCTCATTGACTTATTCGCCAAGAACCATTTTTTAGGGTTCCATTGTGACCGGGAAGTAAAGCCGACAGGGGTATTTGATCAAAGAAATTGCGCTTTTAAAAGGGGATAAAGGGTTCGGATAGAAGGGAATCCATAGGTGCAGTTCGGTGTGATGGGGAGAGACTACTCAAAGCCAAAACCAACTACCCGACCACTTGTGGCAAACTTTATTTATGGCCTTCAAACTCTTGCTCGGTGTCAACTTACAACTTGTGTTAAGTTAGTGATTTTTATGTCCCCCTTAAAAAGATTTCTCCCGAATTGGATCATAAAAAAATAAAGTAGTAAATCGTCATTCAAACGCTATATTATTTTGGTCTTATTTATTATCAACAACCCTTTTTTACTATTAGTTTCTTAATATAAATCAATATATATTAAACATTTCTTCTTCTTTTTCTCATTTTTATATGTTTATACATTAATATTTTCGAGTTTTTTAGCAACATATCCCCACACATTTTATGTCAACATTGTTTTAGTATTTTTGCCACATTCATGGTAATTTTTATTTGAAATTATAGCTTATATTACAAATGCACCACTTATAATTTTTTTTATGGCTTCATGTTCTATGCATATTAGCCAATGGCAATATGTTATGCGCATTCGTTTTTTTTTTTTGAGGGAAGGTATCGTGAAAAAAAGGCCAGAGGCGACGGCGGGAATTGAACCCACGACCGCGCCGTCAACGAGAGGAGAGTCTCTCACGCTAACCACTTGGCTGTCACGATAGCTCAAGTGGTAGAGCAGCGGCGTATCCAGCCGAACGTCGTGGGTTCGAATCCCGCTCGTGACACTGACTTTTTTATCTCAACTAAAAACCTTAATTAATTGAATGATATTGATTGGTCAAGCGGAACACGAAAACTAGTGAATTTAACTAATGTAGTGTAATATTTACTCAATGAAAGATCTGGCTCTAATATAAAAATAAAAACCGAGTTTAATAAAAAAAGTTATAAATTGGTCAGCGCGAAACGAGAGACAGTGTATTAATTGCGTAGAGTTTTTCAAGTACAACCCTCTTGTAAAACTCGTAAATTAAACTGGAAATTAATGTTATTAAATGACTTTATACTGGCTTTGTGGTGTTAAATTTTTATTCTTTAAAAGCACTACTCGCTCTAGTGTATTTTAAGTGTTTTTTATTTAAAATCCAGCTATGAATATATTGTTATTATATATAAAATCCATTTGTTTGTATGTAAAAACTATTATTTTTTTCTATCCTGTAAAAATACAGTCAACAATTCTGAATATAAACTGAGCAAATCCCATCATGTTCAGGAATTCACTTTGAATAACAAGCAACTATAACAGTGATACATACGCATGGTCGATCACGCACGCACGCACAAAAAGGAAGAGGCCCATCGCTAACTGGGCGAAATCCAGTTGTTCCAATCGATTCTAACTTTGGCCGAGGGCATCACCGACAAAAGCACTTTGCTTGTTGTTACCATGGCTGGAACCAACACGGCTGATGAATTAGTCCTCCCTCAACTCCCGAAATAATTCGTTTTCTGCGCCTGACGAAATACTGTTCGAATTTATTCTTTTCGCATTTTACCTCTATTGTAACAATTTTGTTTAAGAAAAGGAAAAATATGAAATGAAATTATTGAAAATTATAACGGAGAACGATTTTTGTTTAAATTTTTGAGGCCAAAAGACGGCATTGGTCATCGCCAGTCCTTTCTTTTTTAGTTTTTCTGTTCTTTTCTTTATTGCTTTTTAAACCTTCTAATTATTTTATCGTTATTCCGCCAAATTTTAATGTTTTATATGTAACGATAACTACCTCTCTCTTTCTTTATTCTATCGCTAACCTCGCTGTACCTCAGGGCTCCGTCAATTGTGGTCAACATAATAAAAAAAATAATTATTCGGAAATCGTGAAATGCGGTCTGGTGTGATGTAGGTTTCAGAAAAACATTTTCTTTATCGTGCCAACGTTTCGATCTTTATTGAGATCATCTTCGGGGCCTGGAATTTACAAAAATTGTTTACATTTAACAAATATGATTGAATATAAAAAATATATTTTGCATTGTATAAATTCACTTTTCCACATCCTAAATGTATTTGTTAAATGTAAACAATGTTTATAAATCCCAGGCCCTGAAGATGATCTCAATAAAGATCGAAACGTTGGCACGATAAAGGAAATGTTTTTCTGAAACCTACATCACACCAGACCGCATCTCACGATTTCTGAATAATTATCGATTAACGATCACTAATCACCACACATAATAAAAAAAAAATTAAATAAACACAATTATATATAAACATAGAAACAAAATAAAAAAATGATAAATGATAATCTGGTTAGCAGTCACACTACCCGATATTTTAACGCTAAAAGTTCCATGTGCACTAATGTTATTATGTTTTTATCATTAATCTTATTGCTAGACAATTACTTTCTATTGTTAAAAAAAGTTCATTAATAAATTTTATGTTTTGTAGAAAAAATTTATAATCTTATTTTTAAATAACGATCGATCACTTTTATGATTTTCAATCGCAAAGTTTTTTAAAAATTAATTTGTATTGGGCAAATAAGCTTGGGAATTTTGTAGATAATGACTTTTTTATCTCAACTAAAAACCTTAATTAATTGTAATATATTAATTGGCCAAGCGGACCACGAAAAATAGTGCATATACTGAGAAGGTTGGGCAATAAAGTTAGAACGGTTGGAGAGATTGGAAGCAGAAAGTTTTGGAACCAGGAATGGATCAGGTCGTTAACAAAAGGAAAATGCTGAGTAGTTGTGGATAAGAAGGGACATAATACTAAACTTTGACAATTTATCTGTTGACATTTGTTGGGAAAAATTGGATGCGTTGGATAGCGGGATTCGAACCCTCAACCTTCGGCTCAATACGCCGCTGTTCTAACCATTTGAGCTATCGTCACGAAAACACGAATCCATTCGTACTTTGTCAATAAGAATATTATGTATATGAACATTATTTAGCATTTATAATGATGACTGTCAGCATGTTAAAATTGTTAGATTCATGATTTCATATGCTTTTTCATGTTCTCATTTAGAATCAACACCACCACCAAACATTTATTAATAGCCCTACAAATTATTTTTTAACTACTTAGAAAAATCGAAAATTAACCCAGGATTGGCAAAACTCAGGTAATATTATTCATTAAAAACTTGAAGTGTCATATAACGTAAATTTTGATAGTTTTCTAACATCATGGAAAAAGTCCATAAAATATTTAATGGTGCACATAGACACACAGCACATCAACTTTTTTTCTAGCAAAACAATTGAAGCAATTTAACAAATTATTCCCTTTACTAAATAAAAACTCTGCCTTAAATGTTAATAAAAAAAATCTCATCTAGCTTCTCTATATAAGAGCCATTTTAATTTACTCCTGATAAGAGATGATAAATAATGTGGGACCAAAAATGTAACCTTGCGGCGTTGCGGCTGCATTGCAGATAACAGATTGACTGTTACAAATATGTTCAATCATATTCTTATTTACTACATTATTGTTATTACCGCAGCTTATTTTTTATTCTTATTATTATTGTATGAAAAATAATTTATTTTTTAACTATGAATTTTTGGTCAATTTTAAATTGAGTGGAATTGGCAACGAATTTTTCAATAAAGCAACTAGCTAGTACTAAATGCCATTCTAGTCTAGCATATAAATATTTATCATTTCATTAATACTTTTAGAAAAATTGTTTAAATTGAACATAACTAGAAAGGTCTGGTGATTGGTCTGTCTATTTTTATTCGGAAATCGTGAGATGCGGTGTGGTGTGACGTAGGTTTCAGAAAAACATTTTCTTTATCGTGCCAACGTTTCGATCTTTATTGAGATCATCTTCAGGGCTTAAAGTGTTTGTTTTCT